AAGAATCGATAAGAGAATCGATAAAGAATCGAATCGTTAAACAGAATCGAAAATGGAATCGGAATATCTTATCAATACCCATCCCTAGAGGGGATGCTATTTTAGGCTACCGAAAAAGAAAAAACAGGCTTAAAACACAATGTAGTTACTAGCAAAACTTAGCAGACAAATTTTGAACAGTGTCTCTTAGCATAACCAAAGCTGAACAAGATGAAACCTGTGCGACGCTAATTACAAGCAGCTTTAATGCTCCCTCACAGGGAACTGAGGCTAAATTATGAGTGTTTATGAGAACAGCAGTTTTGGCATTTCCATGTTGGTCATTTTCTTCAACACAAGTGGCTGCACTTGGTTAACACCAACGCAACCCCCATAAACAGAATAAATATTAGACATGCCTTCATCACATGGCCTTTGATGTTCATGCTAATGTCATCTGCTGGACGTGAAAACAGGCGAATTTGTGCTAACAAGCTAGTTAGAAAGTGATAACAAATTAATGATGGGGCTACAGCTTAGCTTTGGAGGTTGCCTACAGGTTTATGGAAAAAGAGAGGAAAAACATTTCTATGATTACAACAGATCCTCACCAAGTCTGCTGTTTATAAGGTGACGTTAACGCATGCTTTGGTGAAAGCAGAACTTTAACATGTGCCATTCCTGCGCTACAAACTGTCAACCTCGAACACAAACAACACAGTTTGTGAATCCCAGCTGAACCCTCACGGTTATGAAATATTACCCCAGCCCAAAACCAGCTCTGCAGTCTGTCAGGATAATGCACTGTTTACGCGTTTAGCTGGAGAACTACGTTATTCTTTTGTGTACACAAAGCAGGGAACTCACAGCTGCTGAAGATAACTGAGTCACAGAAGTTCAATCACCAGACTTGAGGCTATTGTTAAGTCGTTCTTGCCAGTAAAATAAGTTATTGTGTAGTAACAAACCAGTTAACACCCTCACACTTGCCTTTATTTTAAGGTCCTGCACTTAAGACCAAGGAGGAGTATTTTCAAGTCTGAATTGACGGGATGATCAAACACCCATCGGACTTTTCACTTAACCAACTTCATTCAATAAAAATGCCCTGAGAACCATCCGAATCCATTTAATGGGATAACACTGTAGCCCTTATTAAGGTCAAGTCCTATTTGGTAAATAAGGTTACAAATAAAGTTTTTTTTGTCTTAAGTATGACCAGGAAATGTATTAATGCACTAAAAGGAGAAGTACTCAAAAGAAAAATGGTCCCAGTGATTGTTCTATACTTTCATAGAGTGTTTACCTAGTTTATTATAGGCTGCAGCTAATGCTAATGGCTAATGAATTGAATCAGAGAATCAATCAATTTGTATAAAATTATATAAAAAAAACTTTCCCATGAATTATCATTTTGAGGTTTTGCAGACACAAACCATGCAACATTAACTTGACCACCATTATTGGACATGTGACAACCATAGTGACAATGTAGGATCAAGTTAATGATCTGGCAACCACCTGTTGCTAAGGAAAACTACATATTTCCCAAATGGGTGGCAGAAACCTTCTTGTGATTCCTTTGGTCACTAGCATATTGCTGCAGTTGCATTTTGATTGGGAGTGACAGACGAGTCCACAAACACTGTCCAGCTACTCTGCAAGCTGCAGTGAAACTGGATATGAAGACGTTTCACCTTCAAAGTAAAAGCTGTCCCTTATGAAACATGTTGGCTGCAGATTTATTATTGCCCGACTAGCAGTTATGGCTCTAATATACTTTGTTTGCAGTTATGTTTGCAGACAAACATGAAAAACTACAGGCAACCAGTAATCGCTGTTCAGGCCTCTGAGTTCCCTAAACTGTTTTTTTCTAGTATTGGATCTGGATGATGACAGTTAGATGGGCTATCTACAACATGGTCATCTTGGGCCCTACCCACATCCTGTTCAAACCAATCAGAGGGAGGGTGTGTTCTGGTTTCGCACGGAGGATGAACTGAGGTTCCAGTGTGAGGTAAATAAGGATTACTTTGAACTGTGAATCATGCAAAGCTACCATGATAGAATCCCAGAATAAAAATGTGAAACTGGAAATTAGCATGAGAAGTACAGTAATGTGGAAAAAAAAAAACAGTGGGAAGCATCAGCTCTTTAACTGCTGTTATGTCACCCGGTTCCTCGGAAATTCCCCTTATAATGCTGAGTCATAAAATGAAACACAAAAAGATTAGTGTTACGAGACTTCAGCTGATATGCTCTGATGATTCTTCAAAAGGAAAAGCCAAAACGTACTATAGCCTAAAATCAAACAGGCGGTAGATCTGAAAACAATTAAGTGTGCTACTGCCACATCCGCATGCTACTCAGCCAACTTCTGCTCCATCTGCAGACTGAAAGTGAGGGGACGGAAACTCAGACTCAGGAGGTACAAGAAGCAAAAGCAGCACTCACGAGAACAACAAGAATAAGCAAGATTACGAGGCAGGAAAACAGAAAAACAAGGAGTGTGGAAAGAGACCTTCCAGGTAATTCAAAAAAGCTGTAAGTAGCACAAAAAACAAAAACTGAAAATTGTAAAACTCAGACTGGGAGCTGACAGCTGCCCCTCCTCCCCCTGCATTCAGAAACCAGCTCGACTCTGCTGTTAATTCTGACACTAGCTTTGTTTTTATAGACGTATAAAGCTCTCATATAATGAGGCAATTATTCAGGTCTGTGCAGATGTGGGCAGCATACTGCATTTGCTGTTTATACCAATGAGCAATGGCTGGATCCTGCTGGAGAAAATCAAATTCCCGACCACTGCCCCCTCCCAGGAGTTGCTCAGAATCCAGCTGCTTTGTGTTAAAACGAGATCATGAAAGTTGGCTTTAAATCCTGGAGGAGGAAAATACTGGAGTGGCACTAAGGTCTGTCCTATGTGTAGTTGAGAAAAGCAGAAATGCTGTTAATCTCACTAATAACAGTTTTTCTGTGCATTCTGTGAATTTCGTAGTGAATGTTTTTAAAGCTTCATTCATTTTTGGCCACTTGGGGGCAGTAGATCAAGTTGTAAACAAAAGAGCGACAAGTTAGTTACCTGATGATTGCAAACAATCCGAGTCATGTTAGCTTCATTCTCTGTAGATGATAAAAGCTGCACTTTGGGCCCTTTCACACCTAACTCACTTAGTGTGGAATTTTCTTTGGCATGAACTGAAAATTATAGGTGTGAAACTTACCACAGACCATCAGGCACCAAACAGCCAAACCTGAGACTGACAAAGAGCTGGATCAAACTGAACCAGGGTTTAGTTTGTTTCCAGTGTCAAAACACTCTTGGATGGTTCGGAATTTTGGACCAATGACAGGAAGAAGAAAAAGGGGCTGTCATCAGCACTAAAAGAAAAGAAATGAGCCATGGCAGCAGAGGTAGGTCATGTAAAGTCCTTCAGTGTGCTCACATAAGCTCTTTGAACCAAAACTACAAGGATAAAATCTATACAGTGTAACAATAAATAAATGAATAAACAATCATGGTTTGGACTTTCAGGTTCACCAACTAGCGGTTAATTATCTATTTGAAGTTTGATGTCAAGCACACCAAAGAACTGTAGCATGCATTGGTTTAAAATGTCTTTTTTATTTCAAATAATTCTGCCTGTGGAAGTCAAGTTGATGAGAGCTAAAAGAATAAATAAAAACAAAATAGGTTTTGGAACACACGATCATTGGAATAAAGGTGCTGCACCAAAAGCTTCCTTGTGCTTGCTAGCAGACTGCCACGATTTGCCTCCAGTTTGAATGGAATACACCCACTAGCACTAGCTAGTTTGCTAGCAGCGCAGTAGTAATTGAAAACTTGTGATGTAAACTGAAAATGGAGACAGGTCGCCTTCAAAAGGCACTACTCTTACTTTGAAGGCAAACAATCTCCATCTTTATATGTGTCGCACATTTCAGTTTCACCACAATTTAGAGAGTAGTTTGCAGAAGAGTCTGCATCTTCCATGCAGTCTGCAGAAAAATGCACATTTTTCCCTAGCGACCAGCGGTTGCCAGTTGGTCTCTAGCCCTTTGCTACTGGGGCCTTAATCACTTGAACCCTACACTGTGGTGCACAAAAATGGCTGAAAAAGTTAACGTCACATGGCTAATGGTCATGTGACAACAAAAGCCCAAGAGCATGCTGGCAGGCTTAGCTTCAAAAGCTCAGCAGACACAGTGCAGTTCTTATTAAATCTGTGCACAGCATTCACTATATTAGTCTTCCTATGCAGCAATAACCTGCAACATCTATGTTAACACTGCATCAATCAATAAACCACCCACCAGGTGGAACACACAACACATTAAGTCTCTGTTTAGTATAGATATAAAGACAGAACGGCAGTCTTATGCTGTGCAGTTGTAAAACTGAAAGTACAGAACTGGCTTTAATAGTTTTGTTGTATTAATTATGAGTGTACAGCAGCTGTATTAATAGGCAGTATTGTTTGGGGGGGTTTTATTGTTTCTTTTTAAGAGTTACCAAAGTACATTAGAGCCATGACCTTTACATATTAATAAATTCTTAATGAAAACTCATATTAGTGCAGATCAGAGCTTTAAGTTAAGGTTTTGTGCATTTTCCCATACCACTGATTATGTGGAAATTTGGTAGTGGTTTCGTGTTTTTGTGCTCCTAGCATCGTGGCTAGCATAAACCCTGCTTTCAGCTATTGTGTCACACGTGGCAATCCATACAAGGCAGCAGCAGGCTCAGCTGAAAAGCTGCTATAATGTAGATAATGCACATAAAACGCTGTCATTCCCTTCAGAGCGCCAAGAAAAGGAAAGACAGACAGAGAGAGAAACAGAAAAGACGAGGGAGAGAGAGAGGGAGAGAGCATTTATAACTTCCTGGGGATTCACTGGAGAAGCACACACACACACACACATATACACACACACACCACAGAGGGTTGATTTCAGCATAGAGAAATGTGCTGACCTGCACTAAGCAAGAGCCAAGGGCAACAAAACACTAAATACAAACGCTCCTCTCTGAGCTGGGTACTTTCCCTTCAGTGCTCACACATGTTTAAAACAGAGTGTCTGCCTGCTTCTGAGAGAGCGTATACTGTGTGTGTGCGTGTGTGTGTGTGCGTGTGTGTGTGCATGTGTGTGTGTGTAAGAAAGAAACAAAGTACCCAAAACTACACATTTATGATTCATTTCAAAATAATCCCTCAAATCTCTGCAACACGATCTCAGTTGTTACTGTATCAGCTGGTTAATGAACCATTTTGGGAAATCTCCTCCAACAGACTCCACCTTTCATTGCAACACATCCAAGCTGACAGACCACATGCTTGTAATCATTTTAGCACCAATATACAATATTTATGGCTTTATGAGTGTTGTTAAGAGATACTGTTTGTTTTACACAAAGTGCACTATTCCAGTTTCTAATCATTTATCACTGGATGGGGTTTGGTCCATCCTCAAAAGCCAGGTTGACGGTTCAAACTCCTTGTCCTGCTGACTTGAAAACTAGAATATGACTGACATGAAAACTGATAACACATGTGTTTGATTTCCTTAAATTACTATGCAAAAGTCTCAAATCACCCCTCATCTCTTTATATTTTGCTTCCAAGGAGCTAGACGGTCTTGTCATGCTTTAAAGTGATGTTGAACAGTATTTCTCCAGGCTTTCACGTTATTTGTTCCCATTTATGTAGTTGACTCTATAAAAAAATGCCACAGACAACAGAGTTTGACAGGCATAAAACAATATTTTTTCACAAACAAGGTGAGAGCTACTAGTGGAAAACATGTCATGTCTCAGCATGGTGTGCTATGTGTCCTCAGAAAATCTGAGCAACCTGGACAGGTGGAGGACAAAATAAGTAGCAGGCCTAAAAAAGCCATCTACACCAGACGAACAGTATCTGAAAGTCATGTCCTTAAAAAACTGAGAAAAAAATAAAATCCAGCAAAGACCTCACACAAGACCTAAGAGATGCATCTGGCCCTTCAGCTGTTTGACAAGCATCAGAAATGTTCTCAGTGGAGGGTGGCTGTGACGAAGCCATTCTTCAATTCAATTTATATATCGCCAAATCACAACAACAGTTCCCTCAAGATACTGCGTATTGCAAGATAAAGACCCTACAATAACACAGAGAAGACAGAAAATCCCAATAATCAAATGACCCACTATGAGCAAGCGCTTTGGTGACAGTGGGAAGGAAAAACTCCTTTTTAACAGGAAGAAGCCTCCAGCAAAACCAGGCTTAAGGAGGGGCGACCGTCTGCTGCAACCAGTTTGAGGGTGAGGGGAAGAAGACAGGACAGTCAGATTTTGATCCACCATGCAATACCATGTGGAAAGCATCTGCAGCTTCAAAAAAACGCAGTAAAAGTACAAAAAAAACACAACGGTGAGTCAGACTGGCCTCCTCAGAGCCCGGGCTACAACATTAATGAAGCAGTGTGGGATCATCGAGAATTCAACATAAAGGCAGCCAACTTCAGTCTGTGTTAAAGAATAAATGTGATCATATCAAACAACCTGTTAAAATTATACAAACTCTGCTTTTGACTTATACTGTATTTCACTGGACCCATTTGCCATTTTTCTAGCAAAATATTAAGAAACTGTATATTGTAACGTGTTCTTTCACAGCTTTCACCCTCTTTGTTCAGCTCACAGCGTGTATGAGGGTTGATGTGTACAGCCCGGCACATCAAGCCAAAGAAAACGAGCTAGGATTAGCTCGACTGGTCTCAACATGAAAGATGTATTTTATGCCTTGAGCATCGAAATAATAACATTCCTGTGATGAACCCTGAAGCTGTATTTAATAAGATTGTTATATTGATTTCCAATTGCTGAAGTTAATAAATAAATATTTGCTGAATGTTTAAACTTTAACAAGTTGATATAAATCTGATTGATATTGTGCTTATAAAAAGAACATTTATTATTAATTAGTTAGCCCTGCGACAGGCTAGCGACCTGTCCAGGGCGTAAATCCCCCATCCGGAAGTGAATGGATGGAAAGTCATAGTTAAGTAGGCGTTCACAAGGACAAGTTCACGTTTGGAGGCAAAACCCCCCTGCCCCCAAAAACAAACTCAAATACATTTTGTGTTTGAACTGAAGCTTGGTGTAGTGTTAAACTATTCCTACCTTGTGCCAGCAGGTGCAGTGTGTGAGGCAAGCTTGGCAGGGAGACAGAGGCAGGTAGGCAGCGCTGGCATCAGGCAGGGAGCAGGCAGTGGGAGACAGGGGGGACAGAGGCAGGGACACCGACTGACGGTGATAGTGGTGATGCGGCTGAGCATAACAGATGGCAGCTCGTTCACCGCTCTGCCCTGCAGCTTGAGCTTCTCCTCCTCCTCCTCCACCACTGCTTGCCTGGAACAACAAACACACACAGTACGAGGGTGAAGAGCACAAATATGACTACCTGCAACATGCTGAGTGACAGCGTGATCCATTTATCTATTCATCTCTGGTCTACACGGGACACAAAACAGAAATGTGGAACTACCCTCCTGCTTATTTGTAGGAGATTTTCCATCATAACGGAAGTAATTTAATTTAATTTTAGTCACATATAAGAGCTTTTCTGGGAAGAGATGTTTAACTGTAAGATTTTCCTGAGAGAATAACATTGTTATCACTAAAAACGATAAACTAATTCCTGCTCCTCAAACCTTCAGTTTGCAAGGGACAGCCAATCCCAGCAGAGATAGCTTAAAGAGATTTTAAACGGCTCATTTCAGATGATTAAGGATTATCTTCAATTTTAAATGAAGCAAAGGAAAAAAAAAAAGAAAGAAAGAAAATATTGAGCTTGAAATAAGCACAGGTAGCTCCTCTTCAATCTATTCAGCACTGATAACCCACCACTTGTTGCTTTCACCTACAACCATGTAATTTACCTTGTTCAGTACTGAACAGCACAGACCAAGGTCTGTGGCATTCACAGGCAGCCTGTCATTTACAGTATCTAACCTGTAATTTGCTGTATAGGTAACATGAATGTGCTGCACACCTGTAACCAGCTGGTGTTTCACTTGCTGTAATCACACTTTCTTTTCTGACCAGAAGAGAAATCCTCACCTCTGGCCACGCACCAGTAATAACCCTGGATGGCGAAGCTGAGGTGATCTGAATTTCCATTTTCATCTTGTTTAACTATTTTTGCAGTGGATAATCACAGGATCTTAGTAAATCCCTCAACTGGACTTACACTCGTTATGTATTTGGGTTATATCATTCAAGCTTGGTACTGTTTTCTGAAGTGCCTTTCACTTCCTCTTTTTGAGTAACCACAGAAAAATCTCACTCAAAGTCTCTTCCTCTGTGCAGGCTTTTTCCATCTGATACATAAACTGAACCTCCTGAACAGCTGTGTCAGCACCTAAGTGGGAGAATTAAAGTGAAATAGCCCCATTTCCTGTCTGATAAATGTGCATTTTCCCTCCAGAAGTTAGATCCCAGCATGTCTTGCCAACGTTTCTTGATCCAGTTCTCAGTCTGCCAAAAAAGTTGGCACACGATTTCATATCACACTCTGTGCTGTTTTAATGCACCATCTGCCAATCAAGCCAGAACTTCCTCTGACACATCTACCAATAAATACGGCTCTTGTAAACAAATAAAGTGTGAATCCCCCTCCCCAACTAATTTCTCTCCCTCTGAAGGAGTTATAGGTGCACTTTCTCACCTGCAGGATGTCCTGGATCTGGCTGAGCTGCTGCCTCAGCACCTGCTTCTGGTGGAAGCTGAAGGCGGGGTGGTTGGATGCCATGGTGAACAGCAGCAGAAACTGCTCCTCTGTCCTCCCATCGTTCAGCGCCAGGCCGTAGTTATTGATCACCGTGTCTATGTGGGTCAGGGTCCGGTACAGGACCCCCGCAGCCTCCCGGTTGTCTGAACCGAGCAGTGCGAGGGACACCAGCAGCTTGCTGCGCACCACCTCATCTGTGATGTTGGTAAGGCCCGACAGGTCGACGGGGTTGTTGGCTTTGATCTCCGCATCCCGTAGAGAGTGGTAGTCCTTGCGAGCCAAGTCCTCCAAGCACGAGCCGAGGAAACGGAGCTCGATGGGGACGCAAAGGTCCAGCAGGCCGCACAAGAACTCTGCCCTCTGGGCTGAGTTGAGAGAGGAGAACCAGCGGTACATCCCCTCTCTGTGAACACAGCTCTGGCTCTCCACCATCCTCACACACGCACTCACACTGTATGTGGACCGGTACAGTAACTACAGAATCACTTTAAAATGATTAAAAACGACTTGAAGGGAGCGCGCGCGCGCTCGGGTGTGCGCACAAATTGCGCAGGCGTCGTTGGCAAACTCAGTCCTAATTTACCAACTTAGGTTGGCGGCTGTTTGCCACCACAACGTTCTCGGTGTTTGTCTGAGAGCGGCCGCAGGAGTGAAATTTAACAAGCAACAGTCGTTTCCTTTGTTGTCGGAGCAGAGACGACACCTAAGCAGGCCTTCCCGAACCAGAATCTCCCCAAAGTCGTCTTACATGCAGCCAAAGTGGACTGGTCTGCATTCACCACGGAGCACGGCAGCCCAGAGTCCCTCCGCCGTGTCCCCCTCCGCCGGTCGGACCGCGGACCCCCTGACGGCTCAGAAACAGTTGTTGCACAAAGGCAGGCGAGATCAAAACACACCGCCCCATTCAATGATACCCTCAAGCACACCGAGACTTTTTGATCCGAGCCGCCAAGCCAAAAGGCACAACAACAAGCCCTTCCTGCAGAGTTGCTCCACCGTCCTCATGGCTTCCCAAAACTTGTACGAGGAGCCGCGGGCACCAGCCAAAGACTGTGCCGGATTTCAAGTTTGTAAACACAACTAGTAGATCCCGAAGCTACTGCTGGTTACCAGTGGAAATACCACGATAACATTTCTTAGACATTACCTCATCAAAAGCAGCTGTGGATTAAAAAGAAATCTCACTGACGACTCTGGAGGCGTTTTTTAAAGAAGCCATGAAGGAATTTGGTGCACATTTTACTTCTAGGTTCTTCTCATTCTGCCATGAATCTTGGAAGCGAGAAAAAACAGCTGTATATAACATTATCCCAACTCTGGTAACAAGACAAACCTACCACAGAGAACGGTCTGCTCTGATTGGCTGCGAGAGCTGTATTTAATAGAGGCTCCTCCTGCGATTGGTTCAGAGCGATATCCGTTGCCCTTTTATTCCACATCTTTTTCTCATGCGTTCATACTCCGCTTAGTTATTAGGTATTTAAAGTGCCAGACACACGCTCAACTGATGCTTCCAAGCGAGTTTCAGCTTCATGGAATAAAGAGAACTGCAACAGTTGTCTTTATTCCAGTATCGAATCAATAATCTCCACGGAGGAGAATATGCAGAAGAGTAGTTTCCTGTCAGTACTGGTTCACTTTTTTTTTTTTTTTTTTTTTTGTAAATTCGGGGATTTTTTTTTTTTTGGTAAAGTTCCCTTTAGTCGTTTATTTAGTTATTTATTTCAGTATGGTATCATCAGTGTATTTAAAAATGCATATCATGACTTATAAACTGTCACTTTTGAGGAAGTTCTGGCACAGTATTTTACATTTCCCCTCCACTTAGAGGTCAGTTTTGCTAATAGTTACTGATCTTTGAGTACCTCTGAGCAGAATGATGTGTGTTCAGAGTTTGATACTACTTCATGTGCCTTTAAAGTCGTGTGCTGGGAGTAAGACCTGAGTTAAAGATGTGGGCAGTTTGGTGTTCTTCTGAATGAGGCTGCAGTTGTCAGGGAGTGCAATTTAAGTGTATGGCGCTTGAACTGGCATTAATCTTTGGGAATGCACCATGTTTTTATCCCTTGTGACCCGTCCGTAAATTCATGTCCCACAAAAACATTGTTATTTATTTATTTTAGTATATTAGGATCTGGTCATGCTGTTTTGAACTGGTAATGTGTCCAGCGTTTCCCCCTGACTTTCGCCCAGTTTTAGCTGGGATAACGATCACTTAACTACTTATCCAACTTAGCTAAGTGATTCGGGGATCTGGTCCTCTTAGTGTGAATGTCAGGACCCAAGGCTTATAATAGAATAAATCAGGTTTTCCACTTCATGTCTGGGTTCCTTTTTTCCTTTTAACTGTTGTGGTATATATTTAAACTTTACAGCCTTTTTGGTGTAGTTCATATATAGGTCCAGAAGATGGCAGCAGATGGCTATGCTGATGCCTGCTGCAGCGGCACATTGCCGACGGACGTGGTGTTGTGTCCAGCGTAATATTTGCCTCCTCACAGATGATAAAAAATGTACACACACCCTAAAAGTGCTGCTTAAATTCTGATTTACCTAATAATAAAATGCGCTAACTCTAGTGGACTGTGTCCCCTCACCTCACCCAACAATGTAGTTCTAATCTTCTTTCTTCTCCACCTGCAGTTCTCCCTTGCTCCATCGTCTCGACTGTTTCAGCACATTAGTGTCTATAGGTAAGCCCCGCCCATAAACAAAGACCCCGCCCTCTGCTGACGGAGGAAAGGTCTAAGGTTGCTATAGTAACCATACCCCTCCCTCCCAAGCAGGTTCTGTACCACTCCCTCTCTGCATCAGGGATGCTGCAAAAACTGCACACACAGAAAGTATGAAAACACAACGCAACGCAAAGAAAGAGAGAGAGAGAGACCAAAAATACAGGAGCCAAGTCGTTTTCTTTCAAACACTTTCATTATTTTTCTCCACACAACTGAAAAACAGAGTAACTCCCAGAAACGGAAAGAAAGAAAGAAAGAAAGAAAGAAAGAGGAGAGTGAAACTATAGAGAGAGAGAGAGAGAGAGAGAGCTTGGCATGCTGTAGCATGCTGCAGACTAACAGGGTGGTGCAGGGTTATCGTCACCAGGCTGATGACATACAGCAGAGCTTCTAGACCGAGGTGTTGTCAGAACATGGGGAAACGCCAGAAATGAGCCTACAGCCTGAGAAACGCTGTCGGACAGAAAAGCAACAGCAAACCTCTCTGCCCCTCCTGGAAGTTGTTACTGATGGTGAGGGTTTCAGCCATCCAATCATGAAGGAGGAGAAGGACGAGCAGACACACACACACACAGATGTTCATATACTCTCAGAGCAGTCATGTGCACACATGGAAAGAAACAGAGGGATTGTACTGGGCGGTTTGAGAGAAATCCAGTTGATTAAAAAGCACGACAGCTGTCTGTGACAGTCTTGCGTGTCAGTAAGAGTCTTGCTCAGCAAAGGAGAAGTTAAGGAATGGAAAGGATTAATCCTCACTTGGCGCTGGCTACTGCTTACTACAACAGCATTGCATCACCTAGCTCCAACTAGGGACTTTAATCTGTGTCGCTTAGTTGAGTAAAATCAATGAGAAAGAGGCCGCTCTCCAAACTGTGCTCCTGTCAAAACCTAACCTTGCTTCTGAAGCTTCTGAAGCTTCCAGATTCAACGCACAACTAAGATATTACAGCACATATGCATGCATTGTTGTACTTGGATCAATTTGCTCTACAAAAGCAATGCAGTTGGGCGACTAGGATTTTTTTCAGACATCTTGCAAGTATAGTATAAAAGATGTTGTCATTATCTTCAGGTTAGGTTTTAACAGAAGCAGTCGGAAAGCCGTATTTGTGAGGCTTCGATGGAAACGGTATTTTCCTTTAAATACCTCAGCTGGTGGTACAGCAGGCGCAGGGCTCTGCCAATACGCTGTGCTGTGAATGTCCACCAACTCAGAGGAAGTTCCATCCTTTGACCGGTGTGTGCGGAGGTGGGGTTGAGTGGGAGGGAGAGAGATGGCGCGAGTGCAGCTGTCAGCCGATGCTAGTCGGCTAGATGTTGCTGTGCGGCGACTCTGTCCTCGTGAGATGCTCTTGTAAAGTTCATGAACAGCATGAAAGGCCACTGTGCAATTTTGAGACCACACACATAAACACACACACCCTCACGCCTACACACACAGGCATATACTGTGATGGCAAAAACATCCAAGCTTGATAGAAACGCGCATTTCACTGTGAACATGATATCCAAACACGCTCCTCCTCACACACAGTATGCGATAAAAATTAACCAGATAAAGAAGAAGAAGGATGGGGTAAAAGCAATGAGTGTGTGTGTGTGTGCATGTGTTGGACAGCGCATACACACTCTGCAGCTCTTGAGTGTGTCTCAGCCAACACAATGGAACATAAGCCCACAACCATCAGTAACAACACCGGGGCAGGCGGAAGAACCAAAAGGCAGGAGTTTTAGAAAGAAGGGGAGGAGGGTTACAAAATAAAGAACATATCCATCAATGTATTGTACATGAGAGAAAATGTTAATAAATAAATTTTAAGTTACAAATCTGTTGAAAACTATGATTTGAAGATGAAAAAGTCTGTCTGGTCAGTCCTGTCTGTGCACTTGCTGTAAATGCCAGCTGCAGCTTTCGTGCCTGAGAATCAGGCAGCCCACTCGAGTCTTGACGTGAACCTCTGAAGCTCACTTAAGTCCAGTTTCTGGACTATATTATCTCACTGCAGTCCAGTCATCTGGACTGCTTTACCCCTCCTTTGTCCACCCCTTTGGGCTCTGCACTTCAGCATTTCTTCCAGGACGGCCGGACCAAGCTCTGCTTAGTTTGGGTTAGCCACCTTTAGCCCAAATGAGGGTGGAGCCGTCCTTGGTCCCAGCTGGTTGCAGCAATCTCACCAGGAACACGAAGGGGCAGCAGATTCGCCGTAATACTCATATGAATTTATAGTTGTTGTAGCATAGGTAGGCTGACTCTGAAAGCGGTGCTGTCTTTAAATAAAAAAGTGGATAAACAAAATAGCCACTCCAATGTTGAGCAGAATCACCATGACAACCAGGATGGAGCTGTATGCCTGCGTGGGAGAGAAAGAGAGAAAAGAGAGAAAGTGTCAATAATAAAGACACACACACACACACACACACACACACACACACACACACACA